TTTCCTGCAGTAGAAACGCGCGTAATACTTTTGTAGAGAACCCACAAAAGAAAATAATCAGTTTTAAAAACTACAAAATTGATATCTAACTCATACTTCAGACTAGCTTTTAAGGGTACTGTTGTTAATCGGGCATGGCATATTTTCTTGGAGGGTCTCCCTGTGAGAGCTGAACTATGATTCTTCGATTCTTGGACATAATTATCATTGGATTCAACTTATTATTGGGATTATTTTATACTCAAAATAATTCTTTTTTCGCATTAAGATAAAAAGTTTTCTTAATTTTGACCATAATGATTTTAGGGAAAGATAAAACGCTGTTAAATGCGTAACAAGTGATGATAAAGGTTTCTATATAAAAATTAAATTGTATTTTTTTCATTTTTCTGCAAATATAATTCTACGAAAATCATTTGAAGGAATTTCTGATGCAGAGTCATCTAAGATATTTTGGTCTTGCGAGTTATTCTTTCCGAACTGTTTTCTTGATAATCGATATTTCAATTGAAAAATCTGCGAATTAATTTTTACTGATTTTAGAATTGTACACTGCAGAGAAAAGTTGCTTTTTAAATTATAAAACACATGGATGGCGCTGCATAAACAAAAATGGTTTTAATAGCACACAAACACTTTCCTAGTTTCAATTTTCTTAATCAGATGTTGGAAATTTTGAATGCTTGATCCGTTACAAATTGCCTATAAGTCGTTCACTTTTCCTTCAAGGAATTTTTAATCGATTTTAACCCGCTTTGCAAAGCTATCTTGACCAATTGTTAGTAGGTCAGAGCTTAGAATTTGCATCAATTTTCAGAGATTATAAACATAATACTTCCGGAATTTGAAAGTTTTTAATATCAAGTTAAAGTTTTGTAGTTTGTCAATTCTTCAATCAAAAGTTTCGGCCTCCAATGAGAAGATCATTTCAACACGTTATAAAATATTAAATTTCATGACTAGTAGAAAAATCTTTTGCGTGAACAAAAAACTGTTATGAAAAGTCCTAGGAATCTGAAAAAGGCTTTATTATGGTGACCATTGAAATATATTTTAGAGATTTAACAACTCCATGCCAATAGTACATCCAGCTCTACAAAAAAAGTGAATTGGTGAGGTAAAGCGAAAGGCCAAGACGTGGGGACACTTTAATGTCGAGGCTGTCTAAAAACTTGATGACTAAGTTTCATTCCTGGTTTTTATTGACTAAATATTTGTTACCTTGTTACTATAAGAGGCTGATGTGAATTGAAATTGTTTGAATTTAGTTCTGATATTCCCACAGTATATTGTCTTCTATTGTTTTAAACTTAGACAATGTCTGGTCAAACCAATGGTCTTTAAACCCAGGATAGACAATTCAAAGAAAAAATATTAGATGTTTATTATTAATATAATTCAAAAGCCGATGAGCGCAACTTTAGCGTCTGAGGAGAAACCAACTGAACAATCGCTCCAACCCTATATGTTTTCAATCTGATGGTGTAAAACTTTCATATTTACAACTTTTACTATTTGACCTTACAAATTTTACAGATTTTACAGTTGGAAATATCAAAGGTCGTCAACGTGAGGTTACAAACGCTAAGGAGAAGAAAATATAAAATATATATATATTATTTTCATCTGTGTTATTTCTTGTATTTTGAAATCCTGAAATCGTTGTCAATCTATTCTATATATAGTCCTTGATTCTCCGCCCGGGTGAAACAATACATTAATTATAATTGAATTCCCCTTTACTTACAGAGATGGGCTTTTGCTTCTATTTTTTAACATTTATGGTTTTTTGACATTCATGGAACTGTCAACGTAATTTAAGATGAAAAAGATGGCGATGACCGATTCCCAACGGTACCCTGAAAGAGCTTTGTCTGATCAAGTATGAATTAAGTATCAATGTTTATAATTTTAAAATTGATTATTTTTAATTGTTATTTCTCTACAAAAGTAACTAGCGCATTTCTACGGCAGGAAAAAACATGTAGAAATGATAAGATTTAGACACTTTTTAAACCTAAAAAAGGACAACATCTTCCACGGTTAATTAAAGATTTCAAGGATAGTGTTGTGAATTATGTATTGTCATCTTTGCAAGCAGGATCATTTGAAATTACGCTTACAGTCCCTTTAAAAGGCTAACAAAAAGGTGTGTTTTTTATTTAACTATTTATATAATCTTTTATCATATTATATCTTATATATCTTATAAATCTTATATATCTTATGAATAAGACAATATTACGTTTCCCATCTCTAGTAACTCCTGGCTTCTGCTTCATGAGAGAATGTTTCTGGGGTTCAGTAACAAAAATATTTATGTCAATCAAATTTTTGAAAGTTTTTTATTCATACATATTTTCCCAGCAATTAATTAGTCAATGGAAATAGTTGGTGTTTTTCAATAATTACACTATACGGGTGATAATATTTTTATTACAAGTGTAACCAAAAATTTTGTAATTTGTAACAAAAATTACTAAGAAAATATATTGCTGAAAAAATTAGGGCACATTTTTGGAGTTGTAACAACAACAAATTTCAAAATCTATAACGATTTTAGAAATGGGATGATGTTCTTGTTTCATCTTTTTATGAAAAAATACTGATTTTTTAGGTCGCATTTAGACTTTTTAAAAGTCTCGAATATGGGTAAAATCTACCACTACTAAGTTACAGTTTAGTTAAGTTGCATTAAAGTAGCATTGGCTCAGAATACTTTTAATACAAGGTGTTATTCTATATTTATAAGAGTTCTGAGAGTGTCGGATATCTATATATTCATAAGTGCTCTGAGAGTAACGGATATCTATATTTATAAGTGCTCTGAGAGTAACGAATATCTATATTTATAAGTGCTCTGAAAGTGTCGGATATCTATATTTATAAGTGTTCTGAGAGTAACGGATATCTATATTTATAAGTGTTTTGAGAGTGTCGGATATTTATATTTAAGTGCTCTGAGAGTGTCGAATATCTATATATTTATAAGTGTTCTGAGAGTGTCGGATATTTATAAGTGCTCTGAGAGTGTCGGATATCTATATTTATAAGTGTTCTGAGAGTAACGGATATCTATATTTATAAGTGTTCTGAGAGTGTCAAATATCTATATATTTATAAGCGTTCTGAGAGTGTCGGATATCTATATTTATAAGTGTTCTGAGAGTGTCGGATATTTATATTTAAGTGTTCTGAGAGTGTCGAATATCTATATATTTATAAGTGTTCTGAGAGTGTCGAACATCTATATATTTATAAATGTTCTGAGAGTGTCNATTGAGTTCTGGAACACTATAAAGCATTAGGAAATCATAAAACTGCGTATTTTGGAATGTTTTTAGAATAATGATTATAAAAATACTTTTTTTACAGCTTAACTAATGTCCACCGCACATAGATTCAGTCTGCTTATAAACAGTCTGGCCGTAGATTTTGCCGCTCCAACTCACTTATGCTTTTCTAATTCTGTTTTTAAAAAGTAATTGGCAAAATTCTCATCGATTCTGAGAGTGACGTATATCTATATCTCAAATTGTCGGATATTTCTTCTAAACTTCTATATTTATTGATGTCGAATGTTTTCATTGATTGAGGTTAGATGGTTCCACGCTTCAATTACTCCGCTACTTTACCAGCTCTGAGTCCCGTGTATCCGTCCCGTTGGATTCATCTCATGACGTAACTTGGATCTTTACATCATTCTCAGGGGTGGATTCAGGGTGGAGGTATTTGAACACTTGATACCCATTGTCCCTCTGAAGTTTTTTTGTGGTGAATAATACCCCCCCCCCCCCAGAAAAAAATTAGAATATGTTAACAATTTCAAGGATTTTTATATTATTTCCGTTCTCTCATCTACCCCTTTTTGGGGTGTACATTGTACAATGTAAATGGGAAAATATTAACTTTTCTCAATGTTCAACAAATTCCTGTTTCTGAACTTCTAATCATTCTTCTTCAATAATCAAAACATAAAATTTTGTTTAATTCTATAAATAAATATTCACATAGATCCAGACTGCGATGACAAGTAGAATCAATTTTCAATACTGGATATCGTTGAACTTGTCTCATTTATATTCTATGTAGCCCTAGATATTTTTATTGTAGAAATCTAAAATAATAGTTTGGAACTGTTTAAAGAAGTAATTTGCAAAATTATCATATATTCATGCGCGAAAGCTTGCAACATTTGGATCACTGTGTATAAAGTTTTTTTTTCTTTATTTTTACGTTTAGAAGTAAGAAACACACGATAAAATTAGGAATTTATAGTATAAGCTAGACACAAAGCTAAATTAAGCATATATGGGAGAAATTCATTCTGTTCCCAATAAACATGGGTCCCCATGGATACATTTATTATATTTAAATAGTTCGCATAATTCTTATAGCTCTCAATTCTAGCTTCCATAAAGTTGGTAGGATCCGTCCCTCTATTCCTCTTTTCCTGATTCCCTTTACCCTTTCTGTCGAACATATCTGTGTAAGGCCTGACCTATGAATGTCAGACTGAACGACGTCTCTTTATGTCACGTCTGAGTCTCTGACTTTTTATCCAATGCGCTGCGCCGCTTGCTCTAGTCTGTACTCTGAAGCCTCAAGTTTTCGGTGCCGTCACGAGCGTCTTGTGACGTCACGACAGCGCCAGGTAGATCTAACCATGCTCTGCCAGTATGATAGAATATATGGACTTTTTAAAAAAACAATAAAATTGATTGTTAATACTTTTTTTATTGTATTACAGTTGAGTAAAACTGTTTGCTGTGAAGTTTACTATCTTAATCGTAAAAAAGGACAACATATAGGACTCTGCAAAACAGATATGTTTTTTTTGTACATTCAACGATAGGAAAATATAGGGAACGGTGTACGAATTTCTTAGAAAAGTTATTTTTAAAAATTTGTCGTGTTTTATTTTAGTTTGGTTGTTTTGAGCGGGAAGTGTACTGGCAGAGCACTGGGATACTAGATTCTAAATTTACAGTCGCGGTTCCAGCGTCTCAGTTCAATCCTGCACACAGACCCGGATACAGTGTAGGTTACTCAGGGTCCTAGATATACTAGGATCATGTGATTCGTTACGTAGTGAGAAATTTTACAGAAAAGTTTTAAGGATATTGTAAAAACTGTGAAAAATGCAGATTAAGGGTTCCTGACCTTGACAATTTAAAGTGTTGATACAAGTGCCTGCCTCGGGCTGTGGTCATGAAGTTTGTCATTTGGCGCAACATGACTTATTATAGATAACACTGATCTAAACGCTACCAGAGTTAAAAACCACAATGGGATTCGTCCCGATAATGTGGAAACAATATTTCTCCGCTCTCCTCTTCGTCCCAACCCTGCTCCTGGTTACCGGAGTCGGGACGGTTGACGACTCTAGAATGAGCAACAAGTACGAGCAGCAAAGATATGATGGTTGGTATAATAACCTAGCTCACCCTGAGTGGGGATCAATAGAATCCCATCTAACTAGAAAAACTCCTCCGTCCTACTCCGACGGAGTTTATCAAATGAGTGGAACGAGTCGTCCTAGTCCTAGAAAGCTATCTCAGTCCTTTATGAAAGGCAAGGACGGTCTGGGGTCCTTAAAGAATAGGACAGCTCTTGGAACATTCTTCGGACAGGTAAAATTTATCTTTACTTCATCCTGCTCTAGTCAAATGTTAAAGCCTAATAAACCTGTTCTCTCTCTCTCCTACCTTTATCCCAACCCATTCCATTTTATGCCAGATAAAGGTTCTCCAGGAGTAATCAATATAGCAGCTAGATTTAACCTGTTACATCTTTAATATCTTGCTCAACTTTAAACCTGTCTGTGCAAACGTATGACACTTTTAAAAATATGATTAAAAAAGAAAAACGTGAATAGTCAATTTGACTCTAAAGTGTACTGTTAATTCACTCGGGCGGAATGTAAACAAAGAATTTGCAAACGATAGGAAAACGGTTACGCATGTACATTATGTACGTTAACAGCCCAGACCGGTAAAAGCATAGCAATTCAATGAGAATAGATCAGAGGAGGGGGAATGATGGGTATTGTTTACATTTTACTGTGACGTATTAGGACAGCTTTTAGGAGCTATTTTTAATATAAAATATTAGAGATTATAAGCAAGGTTCTTTGTTCCTGATCAGGGTAGGAGGACCGTGCAATTTTTTACGAATGATTTTCTTAACAATTACACCAGTTCTTGATCTGTCGATATTTGTCACAGAAATGTGTTTTAATTTGGGACACCCTGTAGTATAAAGAAACTCAGAAATGTTTTTTGAGACACTCTGTAGATTTTTTGGAAACATATTTGTTTTCAGTGATGTGATTAGTTTTGGTATTAACGAGCCTTGATTAGAAGAATACGTGGGATTATTTAAAAATTAATGATTTAATTATAAAGTTGATCGGTATAATTAGACCTTATTGATAGGGAACGAACGGGAATGCGCAATTTATATGTGTTAATTAAAATTGTTATCGTAACTCGCATTGACATATGAATATCATTTATCGTTAAAGGAATTCACATAGATTCAGGCTGCTTATAAACAGTTTTTATCAATTTTTATGACAGGGTCGACTTTGAAGTGTCGCAACGCTTAGATTTTACCTCTCTAACTCACTAAAGCTTTTCTGTAGCCCTGTACATGTACATTTTAGCCATTTAAAACATTTTTTGTTAGCTTTGGTTTTTAAAAAGTAATTGGCAAAATTCTCATCGATTTTTGCTTGAGAGCGTGAGACCTTTAAATCACAGTGGGAAGTAAAGAGGGGGGGGGAGGCGCAGTTTAATCTACCTATATATTTTATGGTTTTACTTAAAGGGACTGTCTGCATAAATTTTAAAGGTATAATAATCTAGAATATGAGAAAATATCGACTTAAGTTTAGATCAAATACATCCTTGGGTTAACTAAATATTGAAGGTAATTAAGTAATTAAGTCAGGAGAATTATAGCTTATGTGCCATTTAGCCAATTAGAAGACAATTTAGGTCATTTAGTTAAGACTGAAACTTGCGGTTAAATGAGTTTTAATCAACGATAATTAAATGAAAGATTTCCGTCAAAAATTAAAATATGTGGTTCAACAAGACAAAAAAGCCGTTGTTTGATTTTTAAGTTAGAAATTTCCTACAATATTCATTATAATCTTATTTAAATACATCGTTACAAAAACATTTAATTACAGGGTTACCCACAAAGGATGAGACTGTAAAGACGACCTAAAATCCTTAAAATATGACGATCCCAAGGTTTAACTAAGTATTCTGTCCTAAGGGCTTATCAAATGATTTGGAAGGAAATAAATAAATTAACAATTGCAGGGATTCATAAAGAAACAAGACAGTATAAATTACGTACAATCGTCTCTGAAGTCTCATCCTTTGTGGGTAACCCTGTAGTGCAAAGAATTCAACTGTAAGTCTTGAAATTATATAAAGATCCAATGTAAAGAAAAAAAGATTTCTTATTCTGCCTTGGGGCGTTTAACATTTACTTGTAGCGCAGTTTATAGTCAAAAGAAAAAATATGGGTTTTCTCATTAAACAACATTTTCTCATTAAACAACATTTTCTCATTAAACAACATTTTCTCATACTTTCCTTCTGAACAGTTTAATCTTGAATTTACCAAAACATAAACCCCTACTCTCAATCTGGATCATCCAATGTTATCTAAATCGTCCCATACAGAAAAAAATGGAATCCCAACTGTTTTATGCTTCCCGGGGGGAGGGGTAGTGTAACAATATTTATTTCAAAACATATTTCTAAGTGACACAGTTTGGCATCATCTCAGACTAATCAGGGCTAGATGATTCCTGTTTCTTTAATCTATATGTAATCACGTGTTGGTCTATTATTCAACCATCTTTCAACTTTTTATACTTTTTTATTCAAGACCCATTCACCGACAAATAAGTATCAAAGAAAAAGTTGAAAATTTATTTTCATTTGCCATAGCTTGCTGCGACCAAGTAGATTCTAGAACAATAGATGGCAACGTAGAATTTGTACAATCTCAGTACAGCTGTAATCTGACGTCACAAGTGTCAACTTAGTTAAGTTTATGTTCGATAAAATCATTAGTGATAATTTTAGAATAAAAGTGCTTATATTACGGTAAAATTAGTGCAATTTTATGTGTCCTTCCGTTTCTGTTTTTATACATTTTATTCAATCTTGGAAAACATGTCAACTAATGTGAGAAATGTTCTTTTTCCTTATTTATATTTGACACTTGTGACGTGGTGTATGATTGGTCCATTTCTCTGTTGCCACCTATTGTACTTAATAATTTATTTGGCTGCGACAAGGACTGAACTGTTTAATCAGCATGACATACACACTTATTTCTATATATTTATAAATTAACTGGGACACCAGTATTCAAGAAAAATGTTGAATCATTCAAATCAGGTTTACAGTACGCATGAAGAACATGAATTCCTGTTCGGAAAACAATCTTGATTGGAACTCCATCTATTGAGTATATTTACAATCATACCTCCCGCGACCTCTCACCCCTGAGCCGAAAATTTAAGAGTATCGTTGAACGAAACTCCCCAGTTTCCTTTTTGGGGTTTGTACATTTGTGTAGATATTTACATCATGAAATAGAAAATAAAGAGAAAAAACAAACTGAAAGAAATGATGTGTCTTAAAAAACATTTTAGAAATTTAAATCTACAAAACCTGGTTTCTGAAACCGGGTTTCATGGCGATACTCTTGTCTTAAATTTCGAGCTCCTTGGGTTCCGCATGAAAAAATAAAACAATTGAAACCAGTTTAATATCATTATGTATCTAATTCAACCACGCATAGATTACCATTACCGAAGATGAGCTCCGAGCAATTTCTTAAATTTAATCCGACAATTCACATTTAGTTAAAAGGGGAAAATATGTAACATAAAATTATGTGCAAAGATTCAGCCAAAATATTATGAAAAATACATTTAACAAATTTGGAAATATGTTCAGAATGATGTGGGTGGCTTGTTGGATAGCTGCCATTTAAAATATTTGAAGGGAATTGACCCCAAGCTAAATATTGGGTATTTAATTTTAGTTAGATACATCTGGAGAATAAATTCTCGGCCCCGAGAATATATAGAGAATATTCTGAACAGACATTCCATTTCAACTCCTGGTCGTTTCTCCATGCTTCTTGACGATCACGGAGTAGTACTACAGGGTACCTGGAGCAAAATGAACCTAGCCTCCCTTCCCTACTAATAAACCCTTCCAGCCTTAACCTTTCTTTTAGAACTCAAACCTCATTAAGTTTATTTGTTTGAATGCATTTACGCGTAAGAAGTTTAACTCTCCGTCTATAGTGAGAAGGGGATAGTAGAGCTAATACCAGTCTGCTCAGGGCCCATACTAGATAAATATATAATACTAGTCTTCTCAGGGCCTATGCTAGATAAATATATAATACTAGTCTGCTCAGGGCCCATACTAGATAAATATATAATACTAGTCTACTCAGGGCCCATACTAGATAAATATATAATACTAGTCTGCTCAGGGCCCATGCTAGATAAATATATATTACTAGTCTGCTCAGGGCCCATGCTAGATAAATATATAATACTAGTCTGCTCAGGGCCCATGCTGGATAAATATATAATACTAGTCTGCTCAGGGCCCATATTAGATAAATATATAATACCAGTCTGCTCAGGGCCCATACTAGATAAATATTTAATACTAGTCTGCTCAGGGCCCATACTAGATAAATATATTGATTAAAATTAATTATCTTCTTCTACCGAATTGACGCTCTGGCATGAAGCTTGTTTAAACTTTTTCAAGGTTGGGTTTAGATTGAAGATTCATGAGCTTAGAGCAGGGTTTAAGATCTGATGAAGGGGTGGAGAAAACAATCCTGGTATATATGTTCTAAGTTATCTTTATATTGTGCACTCAAACCTACCCAGCTTTGGATATTTAAAACAACCCTTGTGTTTAAACCAACTCTGATCTCTGTATTTTGTCATACCCTGATATATGGGAGTTAAACCTCCCATATCTGTATGGTTTAACATACCCTGATATGGGAGCTATACCTTCCATATCTGTATGTTTTAACATACCCTGATAGGTTTGCATAAGCCAGCTTAACCTGATAATCTTTGTATTTAGCCTTTACTGATGAATAGAGATGAACCAACTTTAATCTATGTGGTGGAACTAACTTTAATTTGTGTTTGATCCTGGTAGTTTAAACCAAGTCTGATCTGGTTTCTAATCCTTCTCAGTGTTTGTTAAACCCTTAATATTCAGTTTACTCAGTGCACTTGAACGTGGACTTGGAGCAGGGTTTAGGTTCCAGACGGAATAAATAGAACATGGTTCAGTTTATGGCTCATGATACATCATGGAGCACAGTTTCAGGGGTACAGTTTTTGGATACATCAAGGAACATGTTCAGGTTCAGGATACATCAGGGAACACGGTGCAGGTTTAGGTTACAAATACAGGTTCAAAATACATCATAGAACACTGGACAGCTGCAGGTTTAGGTTCAGGATACATCAGGGAGTTCTGAACAGATATAGGGTCAGGATATATCAAGGAACACTGAACAGGGCCGGTTCTGGTTCAGAAAAGACAGT